GACGCCAAGCCAAAAACGCAAAGCCAAGCCAAGCCGCTACGCGCGTGTGCCCTGCGCGTGCAAGCCGCTACAGGCCAGCCAAGCAGTTACACGTATGCCCTGCGCGTGCAAGCCTCTACAAACCAGCCAGTTACCAGTCGCGCGGGCGGCGTGCGCGTGCAAGCCGTTACAGGCCAGCCAAACCGTTACAGGCCAGCCAAACCGTTACGGCGTGCGGCGTGCGCGTGCATCTCAGGAGGCGCCAGTGCACGTGGCACAGACCGTGGCGGATCCGTGCAACCCACATGGTTAAGTCTTGGCGCCACGAATGTCACTGACAGCCTTGTGTTCCCAGCAAACTTCGCGGGAGTCAGCGGAGCTTTCAGGCCATTGAGAAGCCTCCGGTGGGGGGGGAAAAAAGCCTCTTGAAGCAGGACTGGGGCTGAGCGCCTGGAACCTGAGGATGCTGACAGCCTCCTATGAAGAAAGCCTCCAAGACACTCCTGGCCGTGCCGCTGTGCGTGGCAGCGGCTGCAGCTCGGAACTCGGGCGGAGGGAGCTGGCTGCAAATGGCCTCAGAATTGCGGACCACAAAACACCCACCCAGCCCAGCGCCTGCCTGAGGCGCCTTCCACACTTGCTCCTCTTTGGTCCGCACCCAGAACACGAGGCCATCAGTGAGGGGGCACTTGCGGTCACAGGATCACGGCCAGCTCCTGCCCCAGTGCCTCCTGCCCGGTGTCCAAACCAGAGCCAACAGCTGTGGGGCTTCTGGCCTGGGGGGCTCTGCTCCTGGGGGGCATGCAATAGGGTCAAGGTGCAGGCTGCTGGGTGCAGGCTGGCAAGAGGCGGCTTGGAGGAGCACCTCCCACTGATGGGGAGATGCAGAAAGTCACCCCCCTGTGCAGATCCTGGGAACAGGACACTGAGCCTCCCTGGTGCTGGCCTCTGAGCTGGACCAGGGCAGTGGCACCCCAACCCTCCTCCTTATGCAGCCAGGCTCCAACCAGGCTGCTTCACCCAAACCAGAGGTGCTTTGGTGTGGGAGGAAAAATGGATTCTGAGCCCAGACACCAACCTGCACTTGCCAAAAAAAGTAGAGGGGAAGCCAATCACAAGTGAAAAAAAAAAAAAGACTATTTTGTAACTGAAGTCTTGCCTAACATGCAGGGTTAAGCTCCTCTTGCTTGATAATAAACTAAATTTTGAACGAAACAAAAAGAAAAAAGACACACACACAATTTTTCCCTTGTCCCTCTGTGATCCCGAGCCAGGAAGCAAGGGGAAGCCTGGCCTCCTGGGATCTCCCCCCAGCTGCGGGCTGAGCAGTTTCCTCCAGGGTAACAAGGAGCAGCTGGGCTCAGTGGGACCGAGCTGCCCTTCCTTCCTGCATGGACATCCCCACATCTTCCATTGCCCCATACAGAGTGCCATGATCCGGGTTCAAATCCCGGCTCCAGCACTCGCAGCCTGAGTTACCTGGCAAATGCCTTGCCCTCAGGCACCTGCTGTCTGTGTCCTTCCTGACAGGAGGGACGGGAGGTGCTGTCCCTGACATGAAGTCCTATTAACAGTCAAACACAAGCGGAGCACGAGACGCCTGGGTGGGGGACTGCCCTGCCGGCTGCTGGGGGTGCTCACCGAAGAGCACCTCCCATCTGCCCACATGGCCTTGCAGGTCTCAGCACTTATTAGGCACCTGACTAC